TAACAAGAACATCCATAATGATAAATTTTATTGTGCTATATTTCCATAGTTTAACTATTCTCCAAGTAGTCCAAGGATTTGGAAGGTCTAAGTAAATTCCCATTAAGGGAAAAGAGGGCAATAAAATTTTTAATAACATTGGTGTTACCTTACTGTGAGAGGCACTGGCAGTTAGTGCATATGAATTAAATTCCATTTAAAAAGTTAGGGATTCCTTTATTTTATTGACAGTTATGAACTAAAGCTGTAGACCTCACTATTTTTAATAATAATTATTATTATTACTACTACTACTACTAATTATTATTTATTAAGTGCTATTATATGAAAACTGGCCACACCTCGAAGGCATGACATTACAATTACCACACGTAATTCTACAGGCTTCTTCTGTCTCCTGAGTACAAGGTCTCTGAGGCAGTACAGCCATCAGACAATAGAAAGCTTCAGGCTTTCCCTCTTTGGTTAGAATGTAGAGCAAGCAGATCACTCTAGTCTCTTCTGTTGTGGCTAGTTGTTATGGTTTAACCAGGACACTAGTGCTGCTAAACTGTATGACCTCCAGGAGTCCAATTTGGCCATCTCCTAATTCTGCTGTTGTGGATGCCCTCAAAGGTGTCAGCTATGGTTTGACCTTAAATAAATAAATAAGATCTCCAAACTTATACAAGACAAACCATAGAGAACTGGGTGATGTCGAGATTTGTGTAGCACAAAAATAAATAATTAAATAAAAATCCCTAAAATATAAGTTTCTGTTTAGGCAGTGCTATGTAGGAGTAAAATACAATTACCTGAATTACCTACTTGAGCTGTATCTTTTCAATAATGCACGTTCTTGCACACAGATACACATACTATTGTGTGCACACAGTTGTAAGTCCATGATTCCTGGTGGTGACAAGGTCCTTAAAAGGTCCATAACCTTTGTTATGACATTCATTGTCCTACAGGCTGTTCAACTGAAAATAAACTCTAGTTAATATAGTTACAAGTGATACAGCCGTATACACTAATGTCCTTATTTTCCTTTTGGGCTAACATCAGCACAGAAACTGATTTTCGATCTAACTCAAGCTATATCATAGAATGGTTTGGATTGGAAAGGACCTTAAAGAACATCTCGTTAAAAGCAGGGACACCTTTGTGAGAAACAATCTGTAGCCAGTAACAGGCTCAGGTGAGGATCTCAGTGAAGTAGCATTTTTATTCGCGATTCAACGGTGTGCATCCTTCAAGCAGGAATTCACAGCACAAGTATATCATAACCTTATATTCCCTATTACCCAACACTTGATTCCTCCTATTTCTTCATTGGCTGAGTACTACAGGTTCACAAACTACTCAACACTCGTTACTATGCCATATAAGTACAATTTTATTTGACCAACCTTTAATTTTTAATTTTTTCTTTTTTTTTTCTTCTTCTTTTGTGACTAGAGAGCCTGTGATTTTTTTTTTGTTTTTACTGATTTCATGCTGCTTGTTTTGTTTTTCTTAGCTATCCTTCTTATTTTGGGACAGTGGAACCTTCCCCTTATCTGCTTAACACACTCCCCACTGTTATGCCTGCGCAGTCACTTTTAAATATACAAAGTTAGTGAATTTTTCCACTGCAAAGATAGTACTTTATTTCTCACACCTACCACTAGAGCAGGCTGTTAAGAGCCCCATCCAGCCTGACCTTGAATGCTTCCGGGAATGGGGCACCCAAAATTTCTCTGGGCATCCTGTTCCCGTGCTTCATTACCCTCATAACAAAGAATTTCTTCATTATATCTAATATAAATCTACCCTGTTTTAGTTTAAAGTTATTACCCTTTGTCCTACTGCTACATGCCCTTCTAAAAAGTATAAGGTCACTCTCCGGTTTTGTTGTAGCCTCCCTTTGGGTATTGGAAGGCTGCTGTAAGGTCATCCTGAAGTGTTCTCTTCTCCAAGCTGAACACCACCAACTTCCTCAGCCTGTCTTCATAGGAGAAGTGCTTCAGCCCTCTGATCATCCTCATAACCCTCCTCTGGACTTGCACCAACAGGTCCGTGTCCTTCTTATGTTGGGGGCCTCAAAACTGAAGGCAGCATTCCAGGTGGGGTCTCACGAGAGCAGAATAGAGGGGGAGAATCACATCCCTTGACCTGCTAGACATGCTTCTTTTGATGAAGCCCGGGATACAGTTTGCTTTGTAGGCTGCAAGTGCACGTTGCCATCTCATGTTGAGCTTCTCATCCACCAATACCCCCAAGTTCTTCTCCTTTTCAATCTGTTCTTCACCCAGCCTATATTTGTGCTTGGGATTGCCCTTACCCTTATGCTGGACCTTGCATTTAGAACATAATGAAGTTCACACCTATCAAGCCTGTCTAGGTCCCTCTGGATGGCATCCCTTCCCTCCAGCATGTTGACCGCACCACACAGCTTGGTGTCATCAGAAAACTTGTTGAGGTACACTCAGTCCCACTGACTGTGTCACTGACAAAAGTGTTGATCACAATACCAACACCTGAGAAATTTCATTTGTCACTGACTTCCATTTGGACATTGAGTGGCCACTGCAACTCTTTGAGTGTGACCATCCAGCCAACTCCTTACCCACTGCGTGGGCCATCTATCAAATCCATGTTTCTCCAATTTAGAGATAAGGATATCATGGGGGACAGCGTCAAATGCTTTGTACAAATCCAGATAAATGACATCAGTTGCTCTTCCCTTATCCACCAATGCTGTAACCTCATCGTAGATGGCCACCAGATTTGTCAGGAATTATTTTCCCTATTGAAACAATTGGCTGTCACCAATCACCTCCTTATTTTCCATGTGTCTTTGCATAGTTTCCAGGAGGATCTGCTCCATAATCTTGCCAAGCACAAAGGTGAAACTGACTAGCTTGTGGTCCCTGAGTCTTATTTTTTTTACCCTTTTAAAAATGATGGTTATATTTCCCTTCTTCCAGTCAGTGGCAACTTCACTGGAATGTTGCTGGACAGCCTTGACTTCTCAAATATGATGGACAGTGGCTTAGCAACTTCATCCGCCTGTTCACTTGGGGCTTGTGGATGCATCTCATTGAGTCCCATGGACTTGTGCACCTTTAGGTTCCTTAGATGGTCTTGAACCTTATATTCTACAGTGGGTAATTTCTCATTCTCCCAGTCCCTGCCTTTGCTTTCTGTGACTTCGGGTGGTGTTGCTCCTATGCACCAAAAGAGTATGGTAGTCTTTGGGCAAAGAACCATCTCTGCCACTTATTTTGGCAACACATTTCAGCCCACAGAGGACCATGTGTTGGGTAGTCTCAGCACCCCCAGGACCTCACAGCTCTTTGAGATATCCATCAAAAGACTGTTCCCTGTATGTTTAAAGGGGGGTTATTCACAGACATGCATGGGCAGATATGAGATCAGGCTCTTCCATAGGACAGAATCACACCACTTCTGCTTGAATCACCTTTCAAACAGAAGGCAGCATGGAGATTACTATCGCAGTGCTAATATACCTTATTCAAACTAATTGACTATACCTTAGTCAAATTCCTATTCAATTTATGATAAACCAACTTCGTATAACTGAATGTTTTGATATTGGGCTTAAACTAAACATAAGTCACTCTTTCTGAAAGGGAGACATTGATGGACACACTCAACAGACTGAGATGAATATCTTTGACACTGGTGCAGTTTTCCCAATTAGGTGAATTATTTTGAATTACGGATGGTTGTTTTTTTTCACAAAAAAGTTCTCCCTCATTCCCCATGTCACTTATGTCTTCAAGATGGAATATAGAAGTGCTCCATGAGAACAAAAAATTTCTATGAATATTTCTTAGTGTATGCCGATGTTTTCTCAACATTTTTGTTTTCTAATATTCTAAAAGCGTATTCTTGGAGTTCTTCAGTGGCTTGTTTCCCATTCTCTTTGACCCTTTAATGTTAAACACTCAAGTTTCCTTCATATATATTCATAGATGAAAATTCATAATACAGGATCTTTGAGATTACAGTTTTTCATTGTTGCTCCACCCTCTTTGATGATCTCATTGAGATTTATTTGTAAAACCAAGCCTATTTTCTGATGTCACTTTGATTTTCATCTTAAAATAACAGTAAGCTCAGTTTTCCCTTTTTTTACTCAACATTAAGGAACACTTAGCTAAATTATTGAATGTCTTACAAGATTTACAGTGCAACAGAAGGTCAAATTTCATATGACTTGGTGAGATGTTGACCCTCAATACAAGGAGGCTGAATGTTTGTTTATAGGTGTGTGAAACTGGAGTTTCATGTTATGAATTTTTTTAGGTTAGTGAGACTAGAAGGGAAAGTTTCTTTATCAAATTGGGTAGCATATCTGTGTTTAGTTTCACATTGCTACTGTGTAGTGATGGGATGAGTAAGTAGAAATTTTATTTTGCTGTTGTGAAATTTGCACTTTGCATGATTTGATTTTATATTTTAAATTAGTCGTTACTCTGTGTGAGGTTAATGTTTCCAATTTTTTCTACTTCTTTCTTGCCCATCTTAGGCAGAAAGAGGAGTCTATTCCTGTTGTATAGTTTGATGCTGTGAACGTCCTTTTTATAAGTTAATTATATAAATAACCAAATCTAGTGCATTTTACAGTACATTTCCTTAAGCAAACTAGATGGAATGCTTTTTAATAACCATATAGTCATTTGATGATTTTTATACTTGCCACTTGAAGACAGTTTGGATATAGATTGATACAGAATTACTTAAAGTACTGCATATAAATTAAACATTAAAAAGGTAGATACAGACAGACTAAGCAGCTCAATTATAATCTTTGGTTATGCAGTTACTGCCTCAAGGACACTCCATCCATTTCATATCATATGTCCTTCTTTTGAAAGATGATCACTGGGTTCAAGTAACATTTCAGCACAGCAGGAAATTGCATAATTTATAGACCTTTAAAATGAAAAACAGAGAACTGCTTTCCATAAATTAAATTTCCCTCTCATTTTTTTTTCCTCCCCTTACAGATTGGAACACTGAAGGATTACTACCACTTCTACCATAGTAAAACAATTAAAAGGTCAGTTCTCTCAAGTAGAGGTACCCACAGCTTCATTTCAATGGAACCAAAGGTAAGAAAATCCATCTAAGTGTCTGAGGCAAAAGCCTTTGCATTTTTTATATGAAATATCATACCATGAGGTGTTTACCTGAATGGCATATAGCATTACAAGAACTGACACACTATCTGTTCACTAAGGTTCTGCTTCCCATTAAAATGAGGCGGAGACAATACCAAGCTATTAAGTTATGTGCTATTCTTGGAGCATAAGGTCCAATATTATTCTTGGAGTTTTGTTAATGTACTAATCACCATGCTGTGCTTCTCTACAAAACCATGTGTAACATTAATGTCTGCAAATCTTCTGTAAATCATCCAGGTTTTGAAATGAAGATGAGCCATATAGGATGGTATCAATGTTTAGAGGAAAGTTTCTCTCTTTTTTTTTTTTTTTTTTGTTAGATTGTTTGTTGGTTTTCCTGGTCTTTTTCTAGATTTAAGAGTTTGTGAGAGATTAAAATAAGAATATTATTTTCTGTATACTTTTTACCAGTTCCCCTTGATCTTAATTTTAAGATCTATTTAATCTATTTAAAAAATAGTAAAAGTAAAAGAAAAAGCAGTTTGACTACTGTACTCATATCTGTTCCCACAAGTGCAGAGACGCACCATTCAGACAACAGGGGCTGTGCTTGCAGTAGGTCATTCTGCAAGAGTAATAAGGAAAAGTGTTTGCATTTGCATCAGCTTACTCTGTTTCCTACGCGCATAGAGGTGCAGTAGTTTACATGCAAATATGCAAGTTCATATGCACATACCACCATGAACTTTTTTATATTACCCAGCTTCCAAATACCACTTCTGCACTGTTGGCAGCTGGCCTTGATTACTATGCCCTGAACTGTGAGACGCTGCAGAGCACAGCAGAAAATCAGGGCAATAATTGATTTTCTAGTGCCTTTCATGTTATACCATTTAGGTCTTTTCCTATATACAGTATTCTGTGCTGCTGCTGGTACAGGAGTCTCACTGCCCAATTTCTGCATCATTATTAAATATCACTGAAATATTGAGACGCTCTAGTGAGGGCTGTGCAAGGTACTCAACACTGGTAATGATTCTATATGTTAAAGAGAAGAGAAAGCTAGCAGTCTAATATTGTGTTCTGGTAAAAGTGTTTGTGATTCATCTTGTGATGGCTTCACAGAATCTGGGTTTGGGAATTCTTGTGCAGATTTAGACATGTCAAAATACAAACATGTATTTGTAGCATAAAGTCCAGCTTGTGTGTTTATAATATTTCATGATTATTAAAACAGGCTGGAAATTCAATTGTATTGTATAAGCTGGACCTTTTAAAAACAAAAGGCTTAATCTTAAGAAAGGCATGTCACATGGCTTTGAGAATGTTAAAACACCAGTATTTATGTTATTATATTTATGAGCATCACTGTATCTAATGCCAATATTTGCAGCAGATTAGATGGCATGTGTATTCGTGAACAAGGGAACACTAAGGTTCGTGTACTTTCAAAATCATTTAATGGTAGTTTGGTTAATGCTTAAAATCCTCTCTGTGTAACATGTACACACAATTACTTGATCTGTGCTTGCTTCAGATGTGGATCACTAATTTCCTGCTTTATAAAATTTTAAATGTTGGAATTTTTATTGAGGAGAAATTCCTTACATAAGTTACCATTATGTAATGAAAGAACCATTTTGAAATCTGGTATTTCTAAACTACTTGTGTGAATAACGTTTGATTGCACTGCGTGACTGTAGTAGGAAAGACATATCGGTAGTGTAAAAAACTGCTTTTGTGGATTTCAATTAATGAATCACTTTAATGATCTTTGGCTTGATCTTTTTTTTTTTTTTTTTCCTATAAAACCTTCATGACACCACTATAAATTACATGAATAAGTCCAACAGGGAGCATAAACTGATTAGTGTATAGCACATTATGACAATTGTCTCAACATTAGACAAATACTAACCTCTATTTAGATGGAAAGATAAAGAATATGCAGTGTAACATGACTTTGCCTGTTTTCATCCACATCCTTGCCTAGAGGAGAAATGGATCAAATAGTTTTAAGAAGAGATGCCCAAGTGTGGCTTTAATGTCCAAAACATAGATTGTCATGTAGAAAATTTGAAAGAGAGCTTTCTCCACAATATCTTTTCTAGTCTTGGTTATAGTTGCATAGTTGTTTCTTATGAGTTGTTAGCAAAACAAAAGACATGAAAGAAGGTTGTGGAATCAGAGCTGAGTCTCTCTAACTGATGTGATGCTTCAGGTTAGCTTTTGGCATGGATCAGTGAAAGCACCATACCATGAAATGAGAGCCTTTTTAGCTCAGTCGAATTTGCTCAGCAAAGTTATTTTGGTGGTGTGTGAATCAATGGGAGCAAAACAGAAGGGGGAAGATGGACGGAGTCCATACTTGAAAAGATTCATGAATTAAAAGGGGAATTAAAAGTTGTGGTGCACCCCTGGTTTTGCCACAGTGCTGAAATGAAAGTACACAAGGTGAAGAAAATGCAAAATATAATTGCAACCTCACCATGTAAGTCACATATCACTTGTAAGTGACATGTAAGTCACCTTATGTCAATACAAACATGAAGAAAATCCAATGGAGCTTTTCTATCACTGAAGAGATTACAGTTCCAATGAAATGTGATAGCTAAAACACTTTGCACATAGCAATGGTACATAGAAGTTAAGCAGACAGTATAGATGAGAAAGCTGTCTTTTCATAACGGAAACTGTTCCATGAGATGAAGAGTTTGTATTGAAGGGCTGTGATAATGAAGTTTGGGACTTGTATGGAGAAAAATGTCCCACAGAATCAAGTAGTATAAAAGGCAAAGCAATAACTGTAGAATACATTTTTAACATAGTAAAATGCAGTTTTAACATTGATAAATACTCAAATCTGTGTACATACAAACTAAAGTTTATTCTGTTTTGCTTATGAAGTCCCCAGTGCTTTGCATCACAACAGAGATCTAAAAAATAAATGTGGCCCATAGCAATGCTTCAAAATGTAAAATTAGTAATTCAACTTCTTGTAAAATGTCACATTTACTAATGAGGAAAATGTTTTACAGCATTAGTGTTTGTCAGTCTGAACTGAAATGACATCTCTTTTTTTTTTTTTTTTTTTTAAATTTATTTCAGATAGGCTTCTTTGTGGTTTGAACTCCTAGCTAGTGGGTCAGGTTCACACTCACATTTTAAAAGCTGAAAGATTACTGGTCTTACTTTCATTGAAATAAGAAGGAAAGCCACCTAATTTCAGCAAGACACCCTGCTTGAGCTGGATTGTGCAGAAATGTCATGCCTTTGCCGCCTCTGCTCCAGGGTCAGAATACCTGTTGGAAACATTGCTCCAGACACCTACTTTCACCCAGTCTCAGCAAACCACACAAAGAGAAGATCTGTATGACTTGGTGATGCAAAGCTGTTAGTAGCGTGTGTGCATTGGGTTTTTGTCTCTGCCAAAACAAGCCAAATGGGACTGGTGGCTGCAGCATGTAAAACACTACCAAGTTTATCTCTGAGGAGACAACACCAAATGGTCTGGGCTGACTTCAGAGGTTGGAAAGGTAATGGCAGAATCATGTTCATAATATTTGTAGGACACTGGCTGTTCGTGAGAGGTCAGAAGGGAGCAGAACAGTAGCAGCAGTAAATATTTTATCATGCAGCTGTGCAGCAGGGCTTTCACCAGTTCACACTGCTAAATGATATCCTGTCTTGATGCAGGAGATAGCTTGCTAAAGAGCAGGAGAGAGGATGGATTTCACTACAAGGTCTTGCTTTGGCAAAGATTATGCCACTTTTTGTTGGGATTATCTTTGGAAAGTAATACAGTTAATCAGTAGAGATCAGAATGTTCATTGCAAGTAGAGAGGAGGGTCAAAATTTTCAATGCCAGGATGAGCATCATCAGGTTGTGTTTTCCAATTATTTGTGAGTTTAAATGTGCTGAGATTGGAGTGAGAGGTTGAGTAAGGAGAAAACAAAGCTTAAAATAATTTGTATTTCATGTAGGAGGAACATGAATTCAGCAGGAATAAATAATTTCACTAAACTACTAAATCCTTGGGCTTTTAAGAGCTGACATCGTGGACTGAAAGCTTAGAGAAACTGATGAGAATGCTGTTGTGGGTAAGGTTGTGTTTCATGTTGGCAGTGCTAACTGCTATGTTGTTAAACCTCATTAGTGAACAGGAGGATTTTGTTAGCCAGAGTAACAGAAGTGTTAAACACTGGGACCAGGTGAGTTACTGAAGTCTGCCCGGGTAGCCATAATCTGCATGAGCGCTCAGAGGACAAAGAATCAATACTACTTGGTAGTGAAATAATAGGAACTGTCACACTGATTTCCATCTTCAGAGTTTAACTGGTGGGCTTAAGTTAGTTGTTAACTAATGAAATATTTACCACTATGGACTCCTAATTTAATTGTCCCAAAGAGCTTTTACACGAGTAACTCTTTAGTTTAGTCAAAATCAAGAATCAGGCTTGCTGTTTCATGGAGTCTGGTGCGAGTGAGTTGGAATATGAACAGAATCACAATGTGTGAGAGGCCACAGCAACATCTCCCTTTGGTACCTGTCTCCAGAGTGTTAAAAAGTTTCATGTAAACCTGAGCAATTCAACCTGCAGCTTGGATCTTTTTGCAGGGCTTTCTGAGCTATGAAGTTGCTATTCACTGATAAGCAACTGCATCAGATCCTGCTATAATTAGTTTTGCTCTAGTGCACATCATGTTTTTAAGTTTGCACAAGATGGTTGGTATTTTGGTTGTGAAATGGTCATTGAAATTTCTCTGTACAGGGGTGCCTGGTATATTAGTCTTAGCTTATAAAATGTTCTCCATCAGGGAAGCCTCCATTGCTTCAGCAGGAATCAAGGTAAATTGTGCTGTGCTGGGGCTGCGAGACAGCATCAGGCTCATTTTCATTTGTGAGCCACCATGGACTGGATTCCAGTTTGCAACGTGCCTAGATCTGGAGGAAAAGCAGTGACAAATCCCAGTGATAAGAGCAGTG